TCAGAACTAAAGAGACTCACTTTACCCCTTTTTTTCTGCAAGTGCAATGGAATGGAAGATCTGATGTATTATACGTAGTTCATAGCCAGAAATCGGCCAGAGGCGGTAGATCCTCAGTAGATTCAAAATGAAGACGATTCTCTCCGCAAAATTACACCGAAATCGAAGCACCGATGGGGAGGAGTAAAGAAGACGGCAATTAACTTGGGATTCTGGAAGCCATTCTGGAATTTGAGTTAGGTTTCGGCGTTTTAGCGTTCGAAATCATCTTCTTCGCAATCCACATTCATGAATCCCGTTGAAGAAACTCAGACACCTATTCTAGGAGTAAAGACGACGGTAATGCACTTCAAGTATCATAGAATAGAAAGATTTGGCTTTTGCAGCTAGATTCGGTAGAAATTCAAGAGTGGAAGAACTTTCAGGTTCTTTCAATACCCTCTAATCACAATTAGAAGCTTGCTGTTTGTTTTAAAGAAATTTGAACATATTGAAGTTCTTACATTCGTTAACATTTATCATCCTTCCTCAAAATATTCCTTCCCCCAATTGTTGTTAATAAAATGCAGTCATGTATCAAGTATCATAGAATAGTAAGCTATTTGGACAAATCAGCATTCTAGATGTTAAGAAATGTACTTTGTCACTATACAACCAAGATTATTTACCCGCTTCCATTACTGTAGTCTAATTGGGAAAACATTTTTATTTTCTTTATATATGGTCTGTATTGTTCCTTGACTTTTGAAGTAAAAGTTTTGGGGCTTTTGAGTACTGAACTGCTTACTTGTGGTTCATGCTCATGATTTATTTTTCGTTAACATTCCATTTTAAAATGTGGTTTTATAGATGTATCATGCATAAGTATAAGTGAACGACAAGTGCCTTCACTATTTTTTTAGTTAAAATTTCAATGTATTTTAACTAGGAGTAATGATATATTGACCGAATTTGCGGAGTCGAATGAGGTGGCAAGCCACGTGTTCAGTTTCGGAGTTGGTAAAAAATGTCGTTAATTCCCATCGCATACCGCCGTTTTCAATTTCCGTTAGCTTTTACACTTTTTTCTGCAAAACCCCAACCAACTGAATCAAGATGAAAACGAACTTCCTTCCATGGCATAGAAAATGAGAAGGACGAGACCAGAGCTCCTTTCCTTCTCTACATCCGATACTGTTGATGGGTTTCAAGTAATCAACTCCAGGCGTGTTCATTTTTGTATTC